ACATGAAGGAAGTGTTCACCCGATTCCAATTCAGTAACCTTTATACCATTCCTCCACAATAACCAGAACCCCTCCCCCAAAGCATATTTATTGTAGTTATCTAGAAACTCCCAATCCTTGAACTGTCCATTAACTATAGGATCAAGATTTTTCTTTTATACTTTAGTCTCCAACAAAGCTACTAAATCTGATACTTATTTAATTGACTATGTATATACCTGTGTTTCTCAGGGGTATTGAAGCCCCTGACATTCCATGAAAGCAAAATCATCGATGCTTGCCCCTCTCACGTCCCCTACGAGGAGGTGGAGCTTTAGCCTTTGCTTTGCTTTGAGACTTAGAGCCTAAACTACCGGCCTTATCAACCGAACTATTAACCTGTGGACCAGTCTCTGATCCAACAGTGATTGATTCCAATGATTCCTTGCCTTTACCCACATTAAAAGACAACGACTTCACACAAGTGCCCATAGAACTGGAACCCTGAGACCCTGAAAACAATGTGAAAACCCCCCGGAGTGGCAGCATCTATACTGAATACTACCCGCACTAGTGAGTTCATAGAATCTTGAGTAATCACCTGCCCAACCGATTCTGGTTGTGTCTGCAACCAAGACACTTCATGATCCTCTTGAAACTCAGAGCCATTGCCTTGAGAATGGCCAAATATTTGACATTAGAGATGCTTAGGTGGGAGACGCAGGTATTCCACTGAGAGAGAACCTGACATCTCATTCTGGCTGAACTTGAATGAACTCCTAGAACGTAGAATCCACCCTCAGCTCTATACAAATCTTGGCAACCCCAACGTTAGCTCCCGCTTGGTTGCTTGATCATCTAGAGTAGAATACCCAACATACTGGGAATACGATTTAACCCATCTACAATGTGGTATTCTAGAGGAATTCCAGTTATCCTAACCTAGATAGGCAAAGAAGAGAGATGAATATCAAGAGGCTGGATCCTTTGATTCCAACGCCGCAAGAAAAGAGAGACATTATGGCAATGCCAGGGACATCCCTAAAAAACCCAAGTGCCCGTCGCTTGATCCGGGAACTGAGACAAGAACATTGAATTACCAAAATTAGAGACCTAAAATGGACATTCTCTTCCCAACATCCTATTCGCCCAACTCTGGATAGTAGGAAGCGGCTGATAGCACCATATTTACACATGTTTGCACCGTTGTTTCTTAATCATTTTGGCTCGAATTTGTGGTGTCTTAGCCTATTTTACGCTAGGTTGTGTTATTTGTCATATTTCAGGTTCTAGCGAATAAAGGGAGGCATAGACGCAAGTTTCGGGTCAATCAGAGGTCGTTTGGTCACTCAAAAGCCTCTCAAAAGTGGAGTTGAGAAAGAAATACATGCAACCTTCCCTTAAAATACGACCGTAATTCAAAAATTACTGCTGATATTTTTTATTTCGAGCATGATGAAGGCTCAGGTGAGAATTACGGTCAAGGTTCTCAAAAATACGACCGTATTTCTCCAACATCCAGCTTGTATTTTTATGGCCGAGGCTAGACATTGAAGAATGTTGAAGGAAAGCAAATCACAGGCAGACGAAGACGAAATACGACCGTAATTTGCAAAATACTGCCGGTAATTTTCAAAATACTGCCGGTATTTTCCCAGACGCGACCGTGGATTTCTGCGCATCGACTTAACCAAAACGTGCGTTTTGGGCAAAATACGGGCCTCATAATGAACTGTCTTCACCATAATTGTTGTCAAGGAATCGCCCTCGTCTTTCTGCGCAAGCTCCATCACTTTAACTGAGGCCACGTTACTTACGTTCCCATTGAATTCCTTTTCACTTTCACAAAGAGATACTGATGATTCTGCATCTAGTTGCTCAATAGGATCTTTGTTCCACCTAAAACGTCCAAAACGTAGAAGAAGAGCAACCACAAAATCCCCCCAAACCAAAACTGGACGTCGAGAACTCCACATTCTGAACCACAATGTCCATTTTATAGTGCGGGGTCGAATTGTATGAGTCTAGGGAATGCCATTTAATCTAGGAAGGATAGTGTAGTGTTTATGAATGATGTGATAGTCAATGGGAAGTAATGACCACTTGATGTGTTTGAATGCTATGTTGTTTAATTCATTAATGGATTTCCGACTATGCAAAGGAGTCTCCCACTTTTCAAAACTTTTTTCCATAGGGTGAACTGTATCTTCTATAAAATGAAAAATTTACCTATCAAGATATGTTTCTATCATTTGAAATTTGTCATGCTATATGTTGAGAAATAAAGTGTAGGGTAAGCCCAACGTCTGAGGTATCTTTTCATTGCACAAAAATTGGGTTTCAAGAGAGATACTAGTTGAGCTTTAGTGGGGAAGTCCTCCAAGGTGATTCTAGTTCCTCTCTAGTCCAAGTAAAACCTCTACCCATTGAATTGATTGCCAACTTAAGGATGTGCTTTTAAAAGGAAGGATAAAGCTATTGACACCCCTTAATTTCATTGACCCTCTACACGAATTGAGGTATATGAGAATTTAGCTCTTCCTCAATCAATAAGGTTTTAATCTCTGGTAAACTAAGAGCTCCCTACGCAAGAAAATCACAAAAAGAGATGGTCAAAAGAAAAGAAAATTCGACAAAGTAAGAGTATGTGTTTAGTAAGGCAAAAGTGTTCAAAGGGTATGTCAAGTTGATGGTAGAAGTCGAAAAAGTTTATCAAAAGCTCCACCCTGTGCGTTTTGAGACTCTAATGCATGGTTAGTTGTTTGTGCTTGGATTGGATTGCCTAATGTTTTTCCATGTTGAGGTGATTAGGATTCTTTCGTGCTATTGTTGACTTTGTAAGTTCACTTATGACCCACTATCTAAGCTTTGAGATTTTGTGATGATTCTTAGTGTTCATTAAGTTGTATGATTTTGAGTAGTGTTTGCTTGTGGACTAGCAAAGTTCAAATGTGGGATATTTTTCATGACACTCTATTTATAATGCTTATCACTCTCATATTTGATACATTTCCCCTCCTATCAATGCATCTTTAGTGCATCTGATTATATTTCATATGAAATACTTAACCATTTAAATAATGTGCTTATGATATACCATGAGTGTATCTTTGTACTATTTTATGCCATTTGGTGGTGTTTTTTGCTTTTCAATGATATAATGCACTAAAGAGTCAAGACTAATGTTGATCACTGGGGGATCCAATAAGGGAGGATGAGATTACAAGTTCATGGGCTCCAAAGAAGATGTATTTGGACATCAGAAGCTCACTTTATGGCCAAAACAAACATATCTGGTAATGCAGTAGGCGAACTTTGAGCAAGGCCAACTAGAGAATTTCCTACTGACCGCCGCTCTACAAATTGGAGGAGGAGATACTTGGCCCACAAGCAACCCATTGCACAAAGAAAAGGAGCAACGACCCAATGGCGGTTCCACCCGATACTCGAGCCCAATACCTCAAGAAGCTTCTAGAAGGACTTTACTTCATCCACAAGTTGATGAAATACGAGTTCAAATCGTACGAGGAAGGTTTTGGCCGACTTTAGGAGGAACAGGACTAAAAAATCCTCTTTTGTAACTAGTATAATTAGGAGGCTATGCTAGAGTTTTACACACACCTTTTTAACAACACTCTACCCCCAGGGGCACGAGTTAGAAATCCATAGAGAGGAGGCGAAGCTCTGCTGGAGCTTGTCGAGGAGTTTTCTCCATCGTGCCTATATCATTGGTGATGTCTTCCTATTCTCCTATGCATAGCTGACTCGAAATTGTTTAGGAATGTGACTCTATGATGCTTTGTGTACTATTTTTTATGATTCAATATGATGCCAATTGTGTTCAATGATTTTTACCATCGATGTTTGAGTTAATTTAAGCTTGTATCATCTATTGCTCTAATGTTTAAAGTTATTGTCTTTGTATGCTTTAGGCCATTGATGCTTATGATTCTATTATGCGTTACTTCATGCATTGTGCTTATTATAATCAAGGTTGTTAAGAAATTACTCTTCTAATGATACCTCATTGATGCCAAACGAGTATAGTTGGAATGACCAGACCATCTATACCTCGAGTAGTTTCAATGCTTGATTATTAGATCATCGATACTATAAACTATGAGTTATGGTTCAAGAGGCCCCACACTTATGTTATCCTAACTTTCTTATTCTTCATTGATTATATGTTGGCATGAAGTCAAATAACACATTAGCTAATCAAGTTCTTATTGCATGTGACGAAAACTCGAGTAGGATGGCCTTAGTGGAGGGGTAGGGCATCATAATAGATGATGCATAGAAGCATCTCATTGATGAGTTATTATGCATGATCATCTAGAGAACACTACCTAAGCAATCCTTTTACTTGCTTTATTTTCATACTTGTTTGCATTGTTTGTTTCTTTCTTGCATTAGTAGAGTAGAATTAGACCAATGGAACTTCAACCCATCATTTTCTTTTGTTTGCATTCATCATAAAAATACATTTGGTTAGGTTTGAGTAGTTACTATCAAAAGACCTTGTGGAATACGATCCTAGGACATCCAAGGATTTTATCACTTGTTTACTGCATCAAGTTTTTGGCGTCGTTGCCAGAGATTTTTTCTAGTAATTACTAATTAAAAGAAGCTAACCTCCTGTATTTGATAAAAGACATTTCACTGAGATGCATATAGGTTTTGGAGAAACGAAGGAGCACAAAGGGCTTATCGAGCATGAAGACTTCGTGGACCATGGATAGAAGGAAAATCATCTCAATGAGAATTTATTAGACGAGGAAAAAAATGGATGATTTTCCACTTCTCTACATGTTTTGCCAAAACCGTCATGAACTGAGATAAACCGATTGTACCATCCGTGGAAACATACCACTTATCAAACCGGCGTAACAATATAAATCGGTTTGACAAGCTTCATTCATATTGATTAATTAAGTCAAGGATCATATGTAGGCTGATTAAAAACTGAAATCTGGCCCAATCGACTCATTTGAATGAAATTAGAAGTTAAAACTAATCTATAGCATCAATTCCGTGTAGGTCAGAAACAATTAAAGAAGCTTCAATCCTCTCGTTTTCGTCCATCTATTACAAACAACCCAAAACAGTTTCCCCAATTCGTTTTCAGGTTTTGATCTTGCAAAAGGGGAAAAGACGAAGCGCAATGGCAGGAGCGGCAAACAAGTTCTTTGTTACCTCAATGTTCATATGGATGGCTCCGATTGCTGTCCTTTTCGCCTTCAACCACGATTTGCTTCCCGGTAAATCCGCTTCTCTCTCTTTATTTCGTTTGCGCCAAAAGTCCAGTGGTTCTCGTAGCAATATTTACGCTTCACCCGCGACTTCCAATCCAGAGGGTGTCATGAAATGATTAGAAGAAGAGATTATTAACTATCGTCAGGAATGTTGGCGTGATCCAATTTTACTCCCTGCCTCGTTGATTTCCTACTCCTACTGGTTTGAGATCGAAATGGATCTTTCGTGATCCGACCTCGTTGGTTTGGTGAACGAACAATGGGAGTGGAAATGTGTTTTTGGTTTGAACACAGTAGACAGCGATAATCCGCTGAACTGAAATTTAATAGAGTCTGGTTTGTTGTTTGAGTGAGAGGTAATGAGTGTGCTGCTTTAAAAGGGTTAAAATTAGGTGCCTAATATGGAAATCAGGTTCAAGTAGCTAGTTGATTGTTCCTGTCATCTTATCGTCATGATGAACACAGAAAGTGTCCTTTTGGCTGCTTAATAGTTTTCACCTCTGTTCCCTTTTTTAGTCTTTATAGAAAAAAAGGAATGCATCCCTGTATTGATCTACAGATCTGTCCTTTGATGATCAACTTTTAATGTACTTGGTCACTTCTCTGTTTGGAATGTCTCGTCGTGTTTCTTGCATGAATCTAGTACAAAAATCCGTGTATTCTGAGCCAATACATGTGATAGGTTGCAATATTACAATTCGTATAGCTCAAACATGGTATTCTGAAATTACACTCATCCTTACCATTCACGTATAAAGCAGATGATTTCTTACAGGTACATGGCTATGAAACTAAGGTAGTTTCTGTCATTACCAAAGTAACGTCCATGTAGTTTGCTGCTACTTCGCTTCCTGGCATATAGGTTGAGACAAGAGTAAGTAAGCCTTGGTGAAATCTGTCCATCTTGTGGCCTGATTTCATTGTTGAACAATCAATCTAAGCTCTCTTATTGACAAGATATGATGTGTCCCGTGACGAACCTACCGAAGCAAAACCATATGCTGCTAAACCTACAAGTGTGGTTGAGCTGAAACCATCACTAGAATGATGGAAAAGAGTCTGGGTGTCTCTCCTGCGAGACAGAGAAAAAACTCATTTCTCTGTTAGGGAGAAGAAAGCTTTGGTTCTGAAAGCCAGATTGGCAACATAGTGCTCTCTAGCTAGCTAAATTTTGTGGTTTTGACTTGTATATTATATATTGATTGTTGGATCCTGTACAGGGTTGAGCCAATTATCACCGCATACTCTAACCTTGCTAAGCGGATTGGTGGCCGTGGTGTCAGTCAATATAGTTATGGGATTCTATATCTATATCGCAGTGAAGGACAAGCACGAACCAACCTCTGCTGCTGAGGCCAAAGCTAGTTTGACCAAACTAAACAAAGGTAAAACAGCTTCAAGGGCGTCCAAGAAAGACTAGTAGATATTCAGTGGATGTTGTTGAATGCTCTGTTGGTATTCTTTTCGAGCCGACTATAATCAGTTCTGAGCTCTGTTTTTCTATAATGTATCTACGCAGTGCACCACGATTGCACTCGATTTGTTGTAACTTGTCTTCTTTTTTTGATTGAGTTGTAACTTGTCTTTCTATATCAACGTTGGAATCAATATCAGCTTCTTTTTATCGTTTCTTTATGAGTTTATACTCTAGTTTGGTCCGAAGTTTAACCTAAGTGTCAATTCTGATTCCATTTTTCAAATAAGACATTTGTGACCTACTTTTGAAATTATTGGACAAAATTGGCCCGATACTTGTGTTAACTGTTAATATTAACGGTCAAACATTTATTCCGTCAATGACTCAGCATCCAATGCTGAAGTGATAGATGTGGCTTTCATATCATTTTTATTTCAATTCTTTTATCTCGTCTTTTATTAGTTCTTAAAAACTTGAAAATAAAAATACAAACTCTAATCTAAACTCCCTCCTTCGATCTCCCCCCCGCCTTCGTAGATCTAACTTTACAAACACCCTCCCCCTCTACTCCGCCACCAGTCCTGAAATGTCTTCGATCAGACTAACTTAGGGGTGTTCAAACGGTGTGGTTATCGTGATAAATATTTTAACCGGTAATATTTGGCTAATTTGATATGGTTAATTTGGATAATTGGTTTGGTTTAGTTAAAAAAAATTAGCTCGTTTAGTTTTGGTGGTTTGGTTTGGTTTCACACTGTGCTACCAATCAAACCAAATTAACTAGTTAAGTAATTATTCATATATGGTTCAGGCTAGCGTGCGCCCCGGCGTACGTTAGGCTATCGTACGCCCGTTGAGTTTTACTATTTAGATAGTGAATTAACCGGAGTTTTTGGCATGATACTATACCCTAACCTCTAATGGGTAAACCCTAGTCCCTAATTTTCTAACCCAAATCATGAGATTCGTTTAATCTTATAAAGTAAATCAACAATAATTTCCACAAATCAGGACCGTTGATTTTCATTTCAAGATTAAATGAATATTATGCTTTGGATTAGTGAATTGGAGACTGGGGTTCACCCATTAGGGGTTAGGATATAGTATCATGTCCCAAACTTTGGTTAATTCATTGTCTACATAGCAAAACTCAACGGGCGTATGATAGACTAAGGTACGCCCGGGCGTACGCTAGCCTTTGCCATATATATATATTACATACACATACTTAATACTTGACATAACCACGCAAGAGCCAAACATTCATTCCTTTTGGGCTCATCAACAATAAAGTTCAAAATTGTTTCTATAATGTATATTTGTATTTGTAGAGTGTAGACCATGATATATGAACACCCAATTCGGATAGAACTCATACAATATACTAGATGAAAATTTGAAAAGACTGTCTTTTTCAACCTATGATAATGGCTAAGAGACTAATTCAATTCACACAATTAAAACAATTAACTAACTCCATACTATTGACATATATTTTTGTTAGGTAAATACTTCTTTTGACTGTAAGATAATTGTATTAGTTGCATGTATTTCTGTATGAGTTAACTATAATTATGTGTTCATTGTAATATTTTATTCATCATATAAATTGTGAATTGATGCATTAACCGAAAAGTTCCTCAATTAATGGTAATGTGATGTTATATTGGTTAATCTGGATACCCAATTAACCAAACTGATTAAACTTTAGTTTGGTTAATTTGGTTGTTGTATAAGTTTGTTCTGTTTGGGTATGATATTGTATTCTATGGTTAATAAAATTTGGCTTGTTTGGTTTCGTAATTACCATGGTAACCATTTGAACACCCCTAGTCTCACCCTGTCCCTTGGGCACCATGGCCGTTCTCCCTTCCAGAACGACAACATCGCCGTCGTTCATCTTCATCGTTCATCATTCTCCCCCACCGAAACAAAAATTAGTGGAAAACCATCTCTCAACTCAATCTCACATCTTTATTCTTCCCATTGCTTCGCTTCCCAGCTAAATCCTCTCAACTTCCAAAATCTGTTTTTGCCTACCCTTCTTTTTCATTTGTCACTTAGATTTGCTTTGTTAGCTCTGGAAACCAGATCTCTCTTCCTCCCTCCATCCCTGATATGATCCCAAATGGACCAATCTACGGTACCATGTTGAATTACAAGAAAGAACCTGAAATTTGGCTAAGTTATTTTTCTGTTTCAGGTACCCTACTTTGCAATCGTGGTTCTCACAATTGGCTTGATGGAAATGGACGTTTGATGGCTTGTTTTAAACCTGGTGTTACCCACAACAAGCTAGAGTGCTTGGTTGTTCAAGGAAAGGCCAGGAGGATTGTTTTTGAAGCTTCCCACAGCCTGGTCAGAACCTGAATTCTGCCTGAATTTGGCTAAGACAGAGACAATGTTCTGGAGGGCCACTTCGAAGCTCTATTCTGGAAAGAAGGATGAGAGTCGAGCTTCAAGAAGGATACCACACGAAAATATGCATCTTCTAGTACAACGACAAGGCATTCGGTGAACAAAGTGATCCTTGGAAGAGCTCGAACGAGAAGGCCAAAGTTTCCCATTGAAGCAGATTTTCTTCCTGGAAGAACAAGTAATCCGAATCCTAGTCGGATTAGGATTCGTGCCCTGTTTGATTCAATTTCCTTTTTGAGTTATATTTGTTTTCCTTTTCGAGTTGCATCTTGATTAGATCATTCTTTACTTGGTTTGTAAGTTAGATAGCCTATTTAAAACCCAAGATTGCGTTGTAATAGTTAGTTTTTGATGTTCAATTGGATAAACCGAGAGTTTATCTCTATAGCTTCTTGCTCGTGGAATCTGGAGATCGTCCTAGTGTTTCTAGGCTCGATCTTGAGCTTGTATTAGGAGTGGAAAACATATCCGGAACCTTGGATATCCGCCCGAATCCACTTTAATTGGGTAGGGTAAAACCCGAACCCGAATGATTTTTTTGTGGGTACGGGTAAAACCCAAACCCGAATATTGTGGGTAATGGGTGGGCATGGTATTCACACTATCCAACCCGAACGTAACCGATTATACACATGTATATGTATTTTGTCTATAAATGATTATTATTTTCTCAACATATTTGATATTTAGCATACAAATATAATATTTTCATTAAATTGTGTTGTTCTAAATTACTTTTTTTTCATTCTAGTGATTTATTGTCATACTTTATCACATATGTAATGTGAGTATATATATGAATGTTAACATGTTGAGTGGAGGTATAAAGAGAAATTATTATTCATGGATAACCGTGGATACCCGAAAACCCGAATGGGTATGAGCATGGTTTTGATTTTCTACCCGATTCTCGTGTGGGTATGGTTATGGGTTCTTATTATCCATACACTATCCCCCCCCCCCCCGACCTGACCCATTGCCATCCCTAGCTTGTATCGTTCAATTAATCACATTGAACGTGGCCAGACATCGTCTTGTACTTCTCGAGCTCCTTTCCCGTCGTGAAGCTGCACGAAAGTTCCATCCCAAAATCGACACAAAAGCTATGTTTTTGTGTTCTTTCTTTCCTAGACTCGATTCAATCTTTGAGTAGCGTCCAGGTTGTGTCTCTATGATCAAAACACCCCCTTAGGGTGTCATCAATCCCTCTTCTTCTCCATTGTAAGTGGTAGCAAAACCGAAACCCAGTATCTCGTTTACTTGATTGTCTCATGGGTTTGTCTCATTGATTCTTCTTTCTGGGATCTACTTTCAATCCATGACTTCAACTCCCACTTAGCGCCTGGCAGGAAATGTTATCCGAGGCGAACGCCTCGCTCCATCGCGATTTCGAGGCGTTGACAGTCTCCCACCGCTTAGTGAGGACCGTTAGCCAGAAGCAGAGAAATGATTCATTCCCACGTTTTGATCAATATCTGAAAGTAGGAATTGTGGCCTCAGCAACACGAGGAGGAAGCAAATCTGTCGAAGCAGATCGACTGCAACCATCGAGATCTGGCAGAGAGACGATGGTGATTGATGACGACGGCGCGAGGACGTACCTATGGATGATGGTGTCGATCTCTGCAACTATGGCGTCGATAGTGACGAAGTAGAGCAAGGGTTACGGTCGCGAGGAATGACATCGATCTTGACGACGATGGCTCCGAGGGCGCGATGTAGATCTGAAAAATGACCAAGAGCAAGGCGACTGCGTCGAGGCTTTGGGAGATTGAACGGAGGAGGTCGATGGTGGAGGGAAGATGGAGGGTGCTGCGATGGAGGCTCCGAGGGCGCGATGTAGATGTGGAAAACGACCACGGCCAAGGTGCCGACGTCGAGGCTGTGGGAGATTGAACGAAGGCGGTTGATGGTGGAGGGAAGATGGAGGGCGGGGAGGTAGAGGCTCAAGAAAGATGGAGTGGCAGCGGAATGGGTAAATTAGGGATTTTGACCGGAAGCAAGAGAGAAGTAGAGGTTTTCCCCGAACAATTTGTGGTCCTTTTTTCTATTTCTTGCTATGTTTTCATTTTTTTATCGAAAATTATATACATAATTATTTAATGTTGTGTCGATCAAACATTAGCCACGTCAGCAGTACTTTGCTGAGTCATTAACGGTAAGAATGCTTGATCATCAATTTAACGGTCAACACAAGTTTCGATCAAATCTGTCCATTACTTTGAAAAGTATGTCATAAATGTCTTATTGGCAAAGTCGAACCACAATTGTCACTTACGCCAAACTTCGGGCCAAACTAGAGTATTAACCCTTTCTTTATCAACTACACATCAATGAATGACTGGCCCTTTGTTGACCTGATGGCGAGAAGGCTAGGTGTGAGCTATCATGTCGCTGTTCTCGCCACCGTGGTGGGTTAATTGCATAAGAGATGGCTTGGGGGGGGGGGGCATTTATTGGATCTAAATGGGGGCCAAATATGAGTCAGCAGTCTCCAGTTGACTTGACAGTCCGAGTTGGCAGGTTATTTACATTCCGACACCTACCGTTAGTTATGGCAACGAAAATGGTAACGGTGCTACCGGAATTCGCCGTAAGTGGTATAGTTGTAACAAAACGTACTTAGGTGGTTATTATGCAACAAATTGCGAACTTAAATGGTAGTTTGTGCAATTAAATGGTAGTTTGTGGTATTGGGAGAAGCAGCAAAGGAAGAAAAAAAATGAATGAATGGTTATCTCGAAAAGGCAGAGTTCGGTGTAAGGAAGCTAACCAGTAGATGAAAATATTACTT